GGGCAAGCTGAAATTATCCTCTGTTTGAAGTCCGAGTGGAGCATAATGCTGTGCAGGTTAATAGATCAGTGAAAGCTGTTTTGTCAGCGCGTAAAAATGTGAGAGAACTAAATTTTTATAGTAAATAGTTTTGCTGAGCAAACAATATGTGCAGTTATTATGGAGTTTGGAAAATAAATGATTTTAGACTAATGTCAGGCTTCAGATCCTGATGTGGTAGTTGAGCCTTCAAAATGAAAAGAATGAAAAGCCTTTGGAATATTGTTGACACGCTATGAAAGGACATGGCGTTTAATTCATTACTGCACCTTTCAGATAACATTTGTAGCCCTAGTATTAACCCCTGGGCATTTTCTGTTCCTTACTGAGGGCACTTTGCCTGAGAGGATTCATGTTGTTGGGAAGGCAGGGCAGTGGTTTGGAGAGGAGTGGGCTGCGCAGACCCGTGGCAGCCATGTGCTAAGATGAGACCGGCGCAGAAGATCAAAGACCCTGCCGTCTTGGTCCTGGTCTGCAAGTGCCAGTGGCTGCCCTTCACATCTCAAAACCCCCATCACACTGAAATATCTTGCTAGATGTAGTTTTGATCATTTTAAAAGCATGCCCCCTGAAAAAATGAATCACAAGACTATAGGCTTTTAAAATAATAAGTTGAACTTTCCTTGCCCACTGCTCCCTGGTTCCTTCCTTTGTGTCCTTCCGAGGCTTCTGGTCCATTCTGTGAATGGGAACTGCAGCCCTCTGGGCCCTGCTGTCATCAGGATACCTGGTGTTGAATAGCCCTGCTTTTTCACAGCAGAGCTCAGTGTTGTCATTATCATTTGAAAGCTTTGGAAATATGAGAGTTTCTCTCATAATGAAAGGTAAGTGCAGTAGTTGTTATCACATTCAATATTTTGGTCAGTTTAGCAGTTGCTTAGTAACTAAAGTTAAAACCGACCACAAGATGGAAAAACTTGAAATTCATTTCCAGGGATTGCCTCAGACTGCTGAGAAGACACCTTTCTGTTTAATTGTGACTAATTCTTTATAAGTGACTTGAACCCTTTTGGAAACCGTGCGTTGTTTTCTGAGTATTAGGCATACTAATGAACATCCAAGACCATACACTGTCTGAGAAGGCTGTCAAGCCCACCTACGTCCCCTAAATCCGACAGAATTTGGATACCACTTCCCAGCCCGCATGGGTCCCAGCCTTGCTGCCAGCCTCTAGGTGAAGCCAGGCCCCTGGGAACCCATCCCTTCTCTAGCCTTGGCTTGTGTCTGACGCTGTACTGGCCCCTTGGCCAATGGCAGAGCCAGGCAAGGATTGAGGAGGGGATGAAAACAGGCGAGGGTGGGCCAGCGACCTCCAGGCAGCCACACCTTTATCCCTTATCTCCAGACCCCTGGTATTGGGGAGTCCCAGAGTATTAAAGGTGAAGCTCTGGCCAGAGAATCTTCCTGGTAGAGGGGAGTTATCAGTGATTCCTGTGGGGCCTGGGGGTCATCCCTCCTTCCCTCCACTTGCTTCCTTCACTCAGCAAAATACATTGAACACCTCCTGTGTGCCTTTCTTCTTCACTTCATCCTGTGCGACACACAGCAAGGCCTGCCTCTCTGTCCTTTCCCCATATAAGTCGTCGCCAGAAAGAGTAGCTGGCACCCCCAAGGAAAAGCAGGCCCCAGGAGAGAACATCTCTCTGGAAGATAGACCCCCCAAACCCAACAGTGCATATGATCTGACACAAAATAGATGGGCCACATGTGCAAAATCAGCATGAGAAATAGACTCAAGAAAAGAAGAGAAGATAATAGCAATGTAAAGCAAAAAAACAAGGAGTAACTTAAATATGGATGAAGTAGAAGTAACAGGTATGGAAAAACAATAACTAAACTAAGGAACAAAAGAATAAAGGTAAATTACAGGATGAATACAGCTACAGTTGGGTCAGATTGAAGCACCATCCTGAAAGCAACAAGAAATGATAAAGAAAGGTTGAATGATGTGGAAGACAGTAGTAGATGTGCCAACAGTATCCAAATAATAGAGTTCCAAGCAGAGCAGAAGAAATATTTGAATGACAGATAAATTAGCCAGAATTAGAGAAAGATGAAAGAGTTCATCTAGGGTCCAACAGGAGTGATTAGGACAAACCTTCCCCAAGGCCCACGCTCACTCAGCCAGGCTATTCCCCAGCCAGCTGCCAGGTCCTGCAGCCAGCTCCCCTGATCCGCTCAAGAGAGAAGTGAGACACCATCTATAAATCTTTGTTCAGGAATTTAGCAGCTAAGCATTCCCATCCTTCTCTTGTGAATGCGCAGCACTGGCAAGATTGCAAAAGCCACAACTGTATGTGCCCGTCCCCTAACCCCTAACCCCTGCCCAGGGCCAGGGCACTCGTAGGTGTCAGAAACGTTTATGGAATGAGCATGAGTGAACAAATGAATGATGCCAGTGGCTGAGGAAGTTTGCCGTGTATATCTGGACTTTGTAAATACATATGAATAACTGTTTGGTTAAAGTTCAAAACTGTGTTTAAAAGTTATGATTTGCCTTAAGAAAAGTTTGTTCACTTTTTATTTCATCTTGTACCCAGTGGAGTTTGCACTTCATCAGCAGGTTGTCAAGATAGCAGCTTTCTGTGCTGACTGTCAAGTATTCTTTTCCGTCCTGTTTCAGACCCTTAACACCTTTAACGATTTTTTTTATCCTTTGTCGTCATTAGACTGTTTTTTCTTTGGTGCAGCAGTTTTTCTGAGATCTTGGAGGTTTCTGTTTCAGATGATGCGGTGAGATGTTTCGTAATTTAAGCTGCCCCCCAGCCCACCCCCTTGTCCCCAGTATTTCACTGCAGAGGCCCAGTTGGGTTGTTTGTCTTCCAGAGACACTGCCTTCTTCACGAAGTCATCCTAAAAATAGCTTCATTTAACTAGGCCATTTTATGAATTGTTTCAGACTTTTCTCAGACCAGTCTGAAAGCAGGATACTATTTCAGACAGATACAATGCACCTTGAACCTGATCACAAGGCATCTGTTACCCCATGTGGACTGCTGGGAGTTGATTGCCTCAAATCGCAGTTTGAGGCTAACGGCTGGGAAAGCCTTGGGTGCAGCAAACAGCAAAACCAACCATCCAGGGCCTGAATATAGTTTGTCTCGGTATTAAGGGTGGGTGGTGCCCTGGCCAGTTTGGCTCAGCAGTTAGAGTGCCGGCCTGCAGTCCAGAGAGACCTGGGTTTGGTTCCCGCTAAGGACATGTACCTCGGTTGCAGTTTGTCCCCCGGCCCTGGCTGGTCATGTGGGACGCAGCTACTTGATGTGTCCCTTTCACGTCGATGTTTCTCTCTCTCCCTCTCTTCCTCTCTCTCCCTCCCACTCTATCTGAACAAAAAAATGGAAAAATGTCCTTGGGTGAGGATAAAACAAAAAAAGGGTGGGTGCTTAGGACCAGAGAAGCAGGTTTTGGGGACAGAAGTTAGCCCTGTCTAGGTATCCCAGGCTGTCCCAGGGAGTAGACTGGCCCCTTGCTGGCAGGACAAGCTGTGTTCAGGACTCTGACCTCCAGACTGATGCCAAACCCTGTGCAGGCACCAGAGATGAGGGCAAAGGGGACACACAGATGGGAAGGGGGAGGGGAGGGGACTGGGCTGTGCTGCTCCCTGAGGTGGAACCACTGGGAAGATTTGAGAAGGGCTTGGGGAGGGGTCAGAAGTTCCAGACTGGAAGGTGATCTGAGCAGATAGCACAGGTCAGGGTTATTTAGGGACCCACCTTATTGGTGGGAGTTGTTGGAGCACATGGGAATGGGGTTAGGTGTTGGGCTAATGCAGGAGGTGGCAAGAGACTGCCTATAGAAGGTCCAGGTGCACAGCACTTAGGGGTGGGACTGAGTCCTGTAGGCAACAGAGAGAGCTCAGGTCCACATGGAATGTAGAATCAGGAGGCCCCAGCAGGAGTAGGCTCTGAACCCCACTGTGGATCTGTGGCTGTGTTCCATTCCTCTGCCTTAGGTATGCTAAACCTTCCTTGGTTGCAGCCAGTCTTGGCCTTGGCTTCCTGATAGGCATCAAGACCTATCTTACAGAAGTTTGGGGCAGTGACTTGCCTGGGTGTCCAGTTGTAACCTCCCATAGCTTTTCAAAATTGACCATGCCCTTCCCAACAGGATTCTCAGCATTATTCTTTCTCATGATGTTATATGTTGGAACATGTTATTTCCTTCACATTACTCAAGGAAGTACTTTCAAAGCAGAAAAAAGGCCTGGCCAGTGTGGCTCAGTGGATTGAGCATCATCCCATGGACTAAGAGGTGCCAGTTCGACTTCCGGTCAGGGCATATGCCTGGGTTTGGAGCTCAATTCCCAGTAGGGGGCATGCAGGAGGCAGCTGGTTGGTGTTTCTCACATTGATGTTTTTATCTCTCCTTTCCTCTATCTTTAAAAAGAAAATAAATAAAAATATTTTAAAAAGAAAAGTACCTGAGAACTCCCTGTGTGTTTGCAGGCCAGATGATGGTTGTACTCAGGTGGTTTCTAGAACAGACAGCAGAGTCCCCTGACCTGCACTCCCATCCTCCCCTCCACCTTCTTGTGGTTCTCTTGGTCCTAGAAAACTTCTTATCCTTCAAAACCCAGTTCACATGTGACCTCCTCTGGAGCCTTTTCAGATTCCCTCTCCCAAGGAGAATTCATCTCTCCCTCTTGTTTTTCCAGAGTACTCTGTTCAGAGTTCTAGTCAGTCTCTTGGCAGGACACTGTATTTTATCTTTTTATGGTTCTCTCTCCCTGACAAGATCGGGAGCATCTCAAGGGCAGATCAGCCCTTCCCTCAGTGCAAGCCCACCTCCTCCCAATGAGCAGCGGTGCCCCTTCACAGGTCTGCATGGCTCCTCTCCCCGACACTGGGGACTGTGCCTGGAATGTGTACCTATGGGTCATTCTGCCGAGGTCAGAACCGTGGGCCCCCGTGAGCTCATCTTGCTGCTGACTAACGCGCTCTCTTCCTCTCACCCCCTAGGGCCGACGAAATTGAAATGATCATGACGGACCTTGAAAGAGCAAACCAGGTAGGATGTCTGATAGCTTCAGGCATAAAATCACAATAGCATAGCCATTTGTTGTCTTGGAAGATGCTTCTGTCTAAGTTAGAAAACCAGTTTTCTTGTATTTTTTACACACAGCTATCAACGTTGACCCTTTTCATGCTGTCATGAAAAATACATTGAAAAGTTACAGGCAAAGTCTTTGATGTGACCCTAGCATCCCAGATGGTGAATGTCCACTGCAAAGTGGCTCCCTCTTGTTCTTTTTCTTAACTGATCTCAAATACTCGCCTCTATTTGTGTGGCAACCATTATGCTGGAGAGTTTATACCAGTGAGTTATGCTAGAGAGAAGTCTTTCTCTCTGCCTTCTACTGGGTTGAAGCCACTTGTCTGGAGAGGGCCTCCGGCTGACAGCCCCCTCTTGGCTGATACTTACTTGGTACAGGTACCTTGCGGGAAGTACCCAACAGTGTCTGGCACAAACTAGGCACACGGTTGGGTGGCTCTACTCAGCCGCCTAGAGAACTTGGCTGCTCTGTAGAACCCCTTCCTTCCTCCAAGGACTCCGTAGAACAGTAAAACATTTTGCTTCAGCAAAGGTGCTGCTGTTTTGGAAAGAAAGAGGTCTCCCCATTTATTTTCTCTTTTTGTGGGGAGAAGCATCCAAAACCATGAAGGTTTCTCAGCCCCAGAAGGCCACAGGCTATGGCCTCCCCCCACTCAGTTTTACACCTGGGCAGCCACAAGCACAGGAGAGCTTAGCAGTGTGCCTCAGTGGTCCTTCCTGGATCTGTGGTCTCTGCTTCCCACCTTCTGAAAGTTCCACAGAGTACCCACCCCTTGGCTGGCATTGCTTACCCAGACCCTAGCAGATGCTCAGGGAAGAATGTCTTTATTCTTTGACCAATAAAATCATCCTCAAGTCTGCAGGGGATGTGTGGATTTCTTTTTTCTTTAAGGAAAACTTTGTAGGTTCTGTGTTGCATACCTAGACTCACCACTGAGGATCCTGGGCCTATCAAAGGCTCTCAGCAGAGATACATGGAATGAAACACCTGAGATAGCATCATTAATTCTTATTTATCCTGGTAAGAGTAGAAAGAGCTGCCAATTCTTTAGTGACTTATTTTGTGCCTGGCTCTGTTCTAAGCACCTCACATGAACAGAGTCACTTAAACCTCAGTGCCCACCGAGGTCAGTTCTGTTGTGATCCCCATTTTACAAATGAGGAATCTGAGGTCAGTGGCTAGTTGTTGCACCCTGTGCTCTTTGCCAGCACACTGGGGAACAGGCCACAGATAAAGGGCCTCATTTGCCTTTCTTTCAAATTGTCTTGTTTCCCAAGTGTACCCATCTGCATAGCGCCTTGCTGTAAAAGCACTGCCCCTGCCTCACCTCACAAAGATGCTTAAGTATTTATTTACCTTTACTTACTAAACTAATTTACTTTGGGTCCCTTCGTTTTCACTCAGCACTACTCAACTTTGCAGAACCTTAACTCAAAGGTAGTTACTGGAAGGGTTAACCTTCTCTGTCACAGGGTTGCCATTTACATTTCTGAAATTTCCACTCATCCAGTCTCCCCCAGGCCATGGGGGTGCCTCCTCTTTTGATGGCACTTTGGGGTAAGCTCTGCTTTGTTCAGCAGATAACCTTATTCTGCAAATGTCAGAGGCAGTCTCTGAGGCAATCCCCAGGGACTAAAGAAGTTTGGCCGAGTTGATGCAACTCTCAAAGGGCTGAGGCCACTTGGGTAGATCTCAATCCTGGGAGACACCAGGCAGGACTATGGAGAAAGGTGCCGCCTCCGAAGTAACACTTGGTTCAGGTCCCACTTGGTACTTCCTATCTATGTAGCCTTGAACAAGTCTCTTAGCTACTTATATTTCTTTTTTTCCTTTTTTTTTTTTTGGTTAATCCTCTCCCGAGGATATTTTTCTATTGATTTATAGATAGAGTGGAAGAAGGGGAAGGAGAGAGAGAAACATCAATGTGAGAAAGATACATCAATTGGTTGCCTTCCACACAACCCCAAGCGGGGCCAGGGATCAAACCTGAAACCCAGGTACATGCCCTTGACCAGGAATCAAACCCGTGACCCTTCAGTCCGTGGGCCAGTGCTCTAACTGCTGAGCCAAACCAGCCAGGGCTTACATTTTTTTTAAAAATAAGAAGAAAAGAAAAGTGATGAACTTTGAGGACATTATGCTAAGAGGAATAAGTCAGTCATAAAAAGACAAACTCTGTATGATCTCACTTCCATGAGGTTCCTAGAGTAGTCTCATTCATAGAGTAGGGTGGTGGGTGTCAGGGGCGTGGGGAGTTGTTTAATGGGTACAGAGTTTCAGTTTGGGAAGATGAAAAGATAGTAGAGGTTGGTTGCCCAATAGTGTAAATGTGCTTAACTTACTGAACTATATGCTTAAAAATGATTAAGATGGTATATTTTATGTTACATGTATTTCACCATAATTAAAACTAAGAAAATTTTAAGCGAGAGAAAGGGAGGGAGGGAATGGTAACTAGTACTTCCTTTGCAAGATAGTTGAGGATTCAAGGTGAAATGCCTGGATAAGAAGTAGGTGCTTACATAAATGTTTGTTCTGTAGTTGTTAAAGCAGCATGGATTTGGTGGGAGAATTATAAAGTCCTGTCCTAGGGAAGTGCCAGCATGGTGGGGATGGGGAGAGGCATGGGAGGGTTCTACCCACTACACAGGGTGAGTTCATAGCCTGGTGTGGCTGCCAAAGGTAATTATTGCAACTTCAGGCTGCATTAATAGAAATAGTTTCTAGAATGAAGGAGGTGTGATTCTACACTGTCTGCAACAATTGGTCCACTTCCAGGGGATAAGAATTTATCCTGAAAACCACCCTGTAAGGAAAGAAGGTACCTGGAGTTCATTCAGAGTCTCCTCTGTGACCAGGACAGGGAAGGGACCCTAACACCGAAAATACCAGGAGGTTTGGGAATATTCCTGATCTTTGGGAAGCAGGGAAAGAAGACAGACATAGGGACTTGACACTAAGCACCAGAAGAATAATTTCAGGAATGTGGGATGTTAAAAGATTACAGACAGACACCCCAATCAGAAAGAATATATGTACCCCCATGTTTGTAGCAGCACTATTTACAATAGCTAAGATCTGGAAACAGCCCAAGTGTCCATCAGTAGACGAATGGATAAAAAAGCTGTGGTACATATACACAATGGAGTACTATGCAGCTGTAAGAAAGAAAGATCTCTTATCCTTTGAGACTACATGGAGGGACCTGGAAAGTATCATCCTAAGTGAAACAAGCCAAACAGAGAAAGACAAGTTTCATATGATCTCACTTATTTGTGGAATATAATGAACATATAACAGTCTGAGGAATGGGGTAGTCCCAGAGACGTGGAAGTGGGGTACAGACTGACAATCTCCTAAAGAGGGGGGTGGTGGGGGAGAGATAAACCACAGAACTTATATGCATGTATGCATGAACAGTGGACATGGACAACAAACTGGGGAAAGGGCAGGGGGGGGAGGGGGAGGGGGAATCAGTGGGGGGAAAAGGAGAAACATCTGTAACAAAAATTAATTAATAAAAAAAAAAGATTACAGACAGGAAGGCCTAGCGTGGGGACATGGTCAATTCTGTCCTTGTAGCTCCTCGGGGCTGGCCAGGAAAAGGGGTCTGGCTGTTTCATGGCTGAGGTTGGAGGCTAGGGGAAGGGAAGCTCGCTCTCAGTTCTGGCTCTCCAGAGGTGCTTAGAGCTGCCACCAAAGGGAGTGAGCTCCCTGTCACCAGAGCTGTGCAGGCAGATGCTGGCCAATCCTTGCTGAGAATAGGAGACAGGGCATCAGACACAGAGTGAATGGAAAGTGGGATTGAACTAGGTAGCTCAATGAGTCGACAAGGATGACTCACAAGGAGAAAAGCTCCCCAGGTGGACATGAGGACACATCCCAGGCAGGTGAGAAGGGACATAGTGGGCTCTGAGTGTTTTAGACCATTGTATAGAGCTAGAACTAGGAGGTTCAGAGAGGGAGAGTGGACCCATAGGAAGGGATCCAGCCAGGTATGTGGAGGACCTTCTTCTGAGAACAGTGGAGAATCATGGGTAGAAGTAAGGTATCAGATGAGTTCTAGAAGGATCACTCTGGCTAAACATTGGAGAGTGTATGGGAGTAGAAAGAGCAAAAGCCAGGAAAGCAGTAAGCAGCTGTTGTGATGGATCGGGGCAAAGAAACGCAAGCCTAAAATGAGGTGGTCCCCGGGGAGCAGAGGTGGAGGTGGGCTAGGCAGGAGGAGGCTACAGAGAGCCACACACCAGCGGGCACAGCCAGACGTCTGGTTCAGCCGCCTTTTCCATCCCCATCAGGGGAAATCCCCAGGAGGAGCAATTTACTAGTTCATTGGCATATAACATTATTTTTGCACAAGGTTTATAGTCACAGTGTTCTGAGACCTGAAGCTCTATTTTATTGCTGAAGCACTTGTGTTTCTGTTGTGAAGTGGAGAGTGGTCTGCCACCAACTCACTTAGGTCCAGTTCTCATTCACACCTGTTTGTTAAACTTCAAAGTGCCTACATTAATACTGTCTTCGTTGGTGACAGTAAAGATTCAGAACTTTTGAGGCTTCATAGGAAACAAGAAACCACAACTGTGCACTCCCCGACCACATGAAACCCCGTCTGTGGGCCTAGGGACTCGGCTGGCTTCCCTGGCTGCGCCTTCACCCGCCCTCCTTTCAGGGCAGCTCTGACTTCAGTTGCCAGGGCACAGAACCACAGCAGGGGCAGGAGGAAGTTTTCTGTGACTGGTCCTCCTCCTGCCAGCCGGCCTGATTCTTAGGGAGGGCACTACCCTAACAGAAGACCCTTAGGTTGAGGTGAAGTTGGAAACCACAGTTTCACTTCACTAAGGAGACCGAGTCAAGTTTGAGAGAAATGGAAAGAGCAAACAGAACTCAGAACAAGGTTTCTGTGCTCTGATGGGGGAGAATGTTTGCGTTTGAATCCCAGATCTCCCGTTTCCCACCCATGTGGCCTTGAGCAAATCCTCAGTCTCTCAGCACCTGTTTCTCCATCTATAGACTGAGGTAATAATTCACACCTCTGAGAAAGCCCCATTCAGACAGCAAATATTTTTGAGCACCTGCTGCGAGCAGGCCCTGCTGGAGATGCTGGTTTCCTCGGGGCTCTTTGCCAGTAGGTGAGCCATGTCTGTGCCCCTGGTCACTCCTTGGATCTTTTGGGAACCTTGGTTTCTCCATGTAATAAATTAGGCTCCCAGTCTAGGTCAGATGGGTGAGCAGGGCCTGGAGAAAGCCCCTGGGGCCACCCCTTGTTCAGGGGGACATAGGGAAATAGGCTCTTCTGGGTTTCCTGAAATCGTGACTCAGACAGTGACAAGCAGGTTTACTTGGGTGGCCTTGGTGTAGTTCCAGCATTCAGCCTGGTTGACCTGAGAAAGAAATCCAAACCGATAAGCACCAAATCCCAGAAACACAGGCGACCAATCTAAATGGGGACTTTGGTCGCCAGTGCAGGACCAGTTTGGGACACATGGCAATCAACTTCTTAGTAGAGCTTTCTGACCTCTCTCCTATAGAAGCACTGAAGTGGGGTCACCTCAGGGCTCTAGCACCTTCTTTACTTCCCCTGTGCTTCCAGCATTTACTCTCACTTCTCAGAAAAATAAAGAAAGTAATCAACAGCCAGCAAGAGAAATCTCCCAGGAAAGCAGCTTGGACTTGGCAAGGCACTGTTCTCATCATGCGGTGACCACTAAATCACACCCAGGGCTGTCGCCAGCTGCCTGTGGGAGCCCTGGCTTTGGTCCCCAGGCTCTGCCTCTGGAGGGACAGGCAAGGAGGGAAGGGCCTCACCATTGGAAACAGAATGGAATGTTTCTCTCATGACAGCCACATCTCTGTGTCTGAGGTTCCAGATCAGAAAACGGCACCAAAGTTTTCTACCTCCTGTCATTGATTCCAGTTCTAGAAACAACCAGACTTTATCTGGTTGGTCTGTAGACATCAGGAAGATGGGAGACCCTAGAAACAAGTGACACCATGGTGATGACCCAGCAAGTACCCCTTTCTGCCTCAGCTGCCAAAGATGGGACTAAATTTACAACTACAGAATCTCCCTCTTTCAGCTACTCTTAGTCTGTTTTCTGTTTTTTATTGTTCAGCTTTGTTATGTTTAGCTGCACAAACCACCTCAACTCGTTTTGTTTTGTGTTATTTTTTATGTACTCAGGGTATAAAGCCTAAATAAGGATATAAGTCTTATACAATCTAAAAGTTACACCGGAATAACTAAGTCAAGCCAAATGGGATAAAAGGCTGTGATCACCGTGGATAGGTCACAGAGCTACTCTGTACATGAACTGGGAAACTAAATAAAGTACAGAAGCTCTGGAGAAAGTATGCAAACCAGAGGTGAAATCATTAACAGTTAACTGCCTGCATGAGATCCTGGTCAGGAACCCCTGCCCAGGCTGCCCTGGGTCCTGGTGCCTCCCAAACACCACGGGGCCAGTGTTTCCAGGCAGGGCAGGCAGTGATGCTGCTGCTTGGCTGCTACCAGAACACCTTCTCCACCAAGCTAAGAAAAATTTTCCTAATCAGTGACACTAGAACTATGTCAAAATGCACCTTATTCCTGGCAGAGTCATGGAGACATTGTGCCCAAGAGTTTTGCTAACTAGAGAGCGAAGAGTAAACTTTTCAGTAATATGACATGTTTATCAGAAAAAAATTTGGAGTGACACATTTGGATATAACCTGGGGAAAATCTTTTTCACTGAAGAGACTGTCCTACAGTTAGCATGAACCAGAAATCACCCCTGCCATCTTCGCCATATGGACATACCGCCGCCTTTCCTGACGGGTGCTTCTAGATTGCTTTAGGAGCAGGGGGGTGGGAGGCAGCTGCCTGAGCACAGACAGGCCTGGCCAGGCGCCGTGTGAAGTAGACTGAGTGCAATTCTAAGAGCTCCTGGAGAAGCAGGGCTGGCGGCTGCACTCAGCACCCTGGGCAGAAGTGTGCTCTTAGAAATATCCTAATTTGTCTGTATGCAGAGCAGATAGGTTTGCACTGCCATCACATGACTGCTTACAGCTGCCAACCCTTTCTTGTACAACTTGAGTGATCGGCAAGTACCGGGACAGGCTAACTTCTTGTTTCTCTTTTTCAGTCTTTCTTAGCAATTAGTAGACACATAAAACGTCACACCACAAAATGAGAAAACACATGAAATGGCCCTGCTCAGCCAGGCTTTTCTATTAGCAGAATATAAGTCTGGTAGAAAGAATAAGCACGATACTTCTCAGCCTGCATGTTTAGTGTCAATTAGCTACTGTTTCTCACCCAGTTGTAATTGTAAAATCAGGACAAGCCCATTAATAAAACACTTCTGAATGAGTTCTGTGCATAGCGCACTTCGGCAGATGTTGATCCTTGCGAGGTCTTTGAAGGGGAGGCAGTGTTTCCATTTTGGAGGTGGGAAGGTGGGAGCTTAGTGAGCTTAGTTAGGTAAGTGGCCCTGGTCCCTCTGCCCCCAAATGCCTAGTCCCTGCCTACTGCACCCATGGTACCCTCTCAGGTGGCAGCCACTAGGGTGACCTATTCTCGCCATTCAGTGGGAAATCCTGATTGGCTCTCCAGTGGCATTGGTTTCCTTAGCTGGGAATTATGTGCAAATGATAGATGCATTAATTCATTTCTCTTTCGGCCTACTGGCTGGAATGCCAGCATCGGCATTCAAGGACTTTGTCGGGTAAAGGGTTAAATATGTTGACATAAGCCTGGCCCTGACGAAAGGAATGGCATTTACACCCTGTACATTTATGGAAATACTTGCCGAAGGAAAACAACCACAACATTGTGCATGTTTTAAGGAAGAGAATGGCCAGAGTGTCTTTAATTCACTGTTTACCCGTGAGAATTACTCCCAGGAGTAATCCTGCAATAAAATCTTCTTGGTCTATGAGAATAGAAAGAAATTGAATCAAAAGACTCTATTTCCACTTGTATTTATTCAGTCTGGGAAATTCAGTGGGCCGGAGCATTACTATCAGCAGGGGATTCCTTGCTCCTAGCGTTAAATTACTGTCATAATCGCTCAATTATTTCTTCCTTGTACTGTTTAAAATAAAAATCCATCACATTCTATGTTTTTTTTCTAGCATTTATTAGGTTGAGTGTTTAGGAAAATCAATTATAGTCAGTCAGGCATGAATTGATGAATGTTCTTGTAATAATTGTCAGTTGTTAAACTGAATGTACTTTCTCTTCTCACCCTTTTCATTTCCTTCAGAGGGCAGAGGTGGCTCAGAGAGAGGCGGAGACCTTAAGGGAGCAGCTCTCATCAGCCAACCACTCTCTCCAGCTGGCCTCGCAGATCCAGAAGGCGCCGGACGTGGTGGGTAGCCAGGCCTTGTGGGGACTCTGTTTGCCTGGCATCTGTACCCTCTGTGTTACAACTGCTTTCTTCTTTGCTTCTTAACGTCCCTTTTTGGGCTATTTTAAGTAGTGCTGCTGTCTTGGTGGGGAATGCTTTTAACAGTTTAGGGGTGGAACTTGTTAGAGTCAAAGAAGAATTTTGCTGATTATGCGTCGATGCTCTGTGGTCAGTGTGAGACCCGCCCAGCGTGGAGGTGGAGACAGATCCCATCACCAGAGGGGAGCGTCTTCCCCGCAAGGCCTATGGGATGGCAGCTGGCACATGGGTGGTGACCTGAGACTGGAGGTTTGCCAAAATTACACAGGAAAATTGGAGGTTTGGTTTTCTCCGGAATGTGTCCTTCCAGACTGAGAAAAATTTTTGTGATGAGCTGGGAAAGCCAAAGAGGTAATAAGGTGACGCCCTGCTCTGAGTTTGTAATTGCCAGAATCTTGCCTGAAGTGTAGGCATTCAGGAGTGAGGCACACATTCCAGTGTTTTTGCCTCTTGATTTTTCTAATGTAGATGAAAATTACTCCTAGCTAGAACTTTCCCAGCTTGTTCGAGGTAGCTCAGAACTATCTGATTCCAGACTCTTTCCTTCAGTGCTGTGCAGTTATATGGAGCAGCATGTAGTTAAGACCTGACTATTGGAACCATCTCCTGGGCTCAGACCCCAACTCTGCAGTTATCAGCTCTGTGACTTTGGGCAAGTCAGGGAGCTGAGTCTTAGTTTCATTGCCCGTAAAATGGGTTTTTACAAGGGTTTCAGAAATCTAAGCAAAGTGCTTAGAGCAAGACCTAACACATAAGTCCTCAGAAAACCTTATCAATTGCTCTTACGTGGTTGGCATCATTATCTCTAAATCAGGAGCCTTGGTTTTGAAGCTTAATTCCATCACTTTTTTTTACACATCCAGGGAGTTAAACTTACTAGGCCTCAGTTTTTCTGAGTGTAAAGTGAGGAGTAAGTGATCCTGAGGTCCCTTCAGCTCTGATGGCCTATGCTGGGTGAACTGCACTCATAGGTGTCCTTTTACTTAACAAAGAGTGTGCTGGAGCCATTGCTGGGGGCCAGAACCCATAGTGGACACTGGGAGAGCAAGGGAATGAGCACAGTCGAATCAGGGAGACTTGCTTTTGCAATAAGTCCATGTGTCAGTTTAGCAGCCATTAGTCACCTACCCCATAAAGTAGGGTGTTGTTATTTCTTTGTGTAGATGAAGAAATGGAAGCTCTGTGAATGTAAACCCCTTGCTCCAGAGCACTTGCCTCAGTGGCCAAACCAGGACTCAACTGAGGGACCTCTGCCACCTTGTACTAGGACTTTTAAATTACCCCTCAGGAGTGAATCTAAAGCACAGTTTTAGTGTCAGGACCCCTTCTAAGAATGGATTTTTGTTTTCTTCTTTACATTAACATTAAATAAAACATGATTTACATGTCTCGGGATATAAAGAAAATTTCTCCAGTTTAGGAACTATTGCGTTCTGTATACTTCATGGATTCTGGTTTTCATTTTACCTGAAATGGCCCCTTGGCTTTGTCAACGTCCCCTTCTCCAAGTTCACCTGGCCTGGACCCAGCATCACGGTGAGGAAGCGCTCGAGGTCAGAGGCAGTGTGGCTTCTCCTGGCTTTTGTGATGCTTCCTGGTTCTCTGGAGAAAGCCGTCCATCCTGATGTGTCCACACAGGGCTCCTGATCTAAATGGTTTGATTGAAAGGCTTTCTGGCACCATCCTGGACTTTTGCAACCAAAGCATTTCAGAAAGAAATGAATGTTTTTGCAGGTAGAGTAAGATGTGGATCCTAGGGGTGCTTAAACACTTCATCATCTGCTAAGTGCAGTGTTTACATGGCACAGGTTCAGTCTTCCAGGAGCAGCCCTGCCAGGGCTCCCTCGGGTGTGCATTCCCACAGTCACTCAGCTCCAGCCAGCCAGGGAGCAAGCACAGGAAACTGGGCCAGCAGGAAAATGTCTGTTGGGCTTGGCTGGCAGGACTCGGCAGAGAAACAGTAGACTCTATAGATCTAGCGAAGGCCCAAACTGATCTGTTGGGTGTCTTACTGGAATCGCCGGTTTCGGAAGGTGAGCTGCCACTCAGAGAGTGCCTGCCCTGGATGAGGGGCCATGCTGGAGCTGTGTGGTTGCTTTATTTCTGCCTCTTGACACCATGGTCATTAGAGGCAGGTAATATCCTCATTTTACAGGGAAGGGAACTGAGAGGCTCAGAGGAGTGAAGTAATTTGCTGACGGTCACACAGCTAGGAAATGATCAAGCTGGAATATGTTCTACTGCAAAGTCCACTCTTTTCCTACATCCAACTACCTCGCTCTCATGTGCATCAAATGGAACAGGGTACATGTGGGTCCTTTGTCAGGTATTCCCAGATAAATATTAGTTCAGGGCTCTGCTGTACCACACCAGGCCACCTTCTTGAACCTGAGCAGACCATATTAGAAAATACACCTGTCTGTCTCAGGTGAATCTATCGGGTGCACACACTGCTTAGATCCAGCCTCCTTCAGCCGCTTGGTGTTGGCAGGAACAGAGATGCAGTGAGAGAGAGAGAGAAGTAAAGCCAAGGTTCCCGGTCCTCCAGCCTCCCCCGCTAGAGCAGGTAAACCTGAGATCAGCCTTGACTTCCAGTGTCTGTCTCACAGGCTGGGGTCTTGGGCGCACTATCATTTCACAATTAGGTTTTTCTCACATTGAGTAGTGCTCCTGCATCTCATTCATATTTAATATGAAAATGGCTGCAGGATAAAAGAGATGATTATCTAGCTTATTTCAGCCTCGATGGTCTAATCTTAGTAGGAGGACTCACTAGACAGTTACACAGCTTGTGATATTTCACACGAACAGGTTGGGAGAGAGGGGAGACAAATGGGTTCAAAGGGACAAAATTTAAAGGACTATGATCTCAGTAACTTCTTTTTTTCCTGTTTACTTTTCCCTTTGGAAACACACCCCACCATTATCATCATCTTCAGCCCTTTCTTTCTTTTTTATAACAATGTTTTTAGACTCTACAAAGTGTTCTCACTTATCCTCTCCTGCCTCCTGAGACACCAAAGCCCCCATCCCCAAGACCCAGCCCTCATGAGGAATGTAGGTGCCCTTACAGGCCGTGGAAGCCTGGAGTCGTGGGACTGTGCCTGCTGGGACAGATTCTCAGGACCCCATTCTGGTGCCCACAGGGGCCACTTGTCACATTTGAAAAAAAGTCAGTCCCTTCCTTTAGAGGCTACAATCCAAACCAGTATCCTGACTCCGAACCCGAGTCCTACTCCAGACCCCCTGAACCATGGTTTCCAGGGTGGGGCCCAGGACCTATGTGTTTTATAAAGCCCCCAAGTTTTTCAGGTGCATCTGAGGGGAGGCCTGAATGGACACGAGGGAACCTATGGTCCGGCCCTCTTTTGAGTCCGTGGATGCTTCGCCTCTCAGTAGTTATCTCAACAGCATCTGAGCTGCCTGATACTGACCTCGCTGCAGCCTTAAAGGCCACCCTTCCTCTCAGCACCTGTTCACCGGTCACAAAACTTCCTTTCTTGCTATGCCCTCAGACTGAGAGGCCCCAGGTATATCACCCAGGTACAGGCCTCTCCCTCCACCTGCAGCCTGTTGATCATTTCCTGGACCCTGGTTCATTTCTTTCTCAGTTTCCCATGTGTCTTTACAGTGAGACAAGGTTGTCCTCGTGGGGGGGGGCGGGGCGGTGAGCCACATTTGGGCTTAGAGTAGGGTGATCTTTTTTATCTGATTTCCAAAGCCTTACTGCTTTGGGGTATATTACCTCATCTCATTTAGTTTATGCAAGATACAAATGATTTTTGCTGTTATAAATGAAGAATCTGTGGTCCAGTTCCTAAGTTAGTTGATGTGCTGAGGTCACACGGTCAGCTTGTGGCCAGGCCACACTGGGCCTCAGGAGCTGAGCAGATGGCTCTCTGGGACTGCCTACCTCAGGTTCCCATCCTGGGCCCAGGATCAGCACCCAGAGCTGCTGATTTTATATATACAGGGTGGAGCAAAAGTAGGTTCACTGTTGTTCATATAGAAAATAATACAATAAATAATAATGCAAGATAAAACTCTGTGTTTCAAGTATCACAACTATAAGCCTACTTTTGCCATACCCTGTATTATTTGAACCACTTGTCTCTGATACAGTAACTTGCCTGTTTAAAATCCCCGATCACCTTTTGGCTTGTTTTACAGACTCTTCCCCTAAGAGCACTTGAAACAGTTTTTATGGCCGGCATCCCTCAGGTTGGAAAGTTGATAAATAAATTAAATGAGATAGCATGGCTTTTTCTACACCCACCCTGAGACTGACCTCCCTGAATATCACTGCCATCATGTCCCCTCACTGCTCCCCAGGCCTGCCACCACAAGTCCAGGCACCTTTGGCCACCCTCTGATCTTTCACCAATATGCCCACTCCTTTGATGAGCTGGCCCCTCAGCATCAGTCCCTCCTTGTGCCCTGCTTCCCACCCTTTCAAACCTCCGTGCCCACCTGTGGTGTCCCACCCTGAAATGGAGCCCCTCTTCCTTCACAGTTAGTGCTATGCCCTTCTCTCCCTCCTCAGGGCTCACCTCCTCATGCATCTCTCACTGTTCTCTTAGTGCTGACCTCCTGTCATTGCTGGAGGACTTGTCTTAGTTCCCTGACTGACCCAGCCAGTGTTATCTAGAGTGGTGCTTCCCAAACTCTGCGGTAAAGGAGAGTTTTGTTTTTCTTTTTAAATTTCCAATCTGTCACAGACTGGTGGTTTTATAAAAGACAATAAAAATGTCTCAGCAATGTCTAATTGCTATAAACATTTCTAAACACTTTCAATTTTTGTACTTGCCTCACTGTATACCAGCAACGGTTTGTGGACTGGCACCGGTCCATGGAGCCCACTCTGAACTGAACTGGTCTGGACAGCATGTGCCTTTAGGTGAGCTGGTGGGAAGGTGCTCACGGGATCCCTGGGGCCATGTCCAGATCTTCGAGAAGTCAGGAGAAATGAACATCTTATTTTACAATATTATACAAATCAAAGAAACAGGAAGTCACTTCTTTGCACATAAAACTTTACATTTTTTAAATGGCAAAGGCCTTAGTTTCCTAGAAGGGAGATGTGAAAAATTACTTCCCTGGGTGACTGGCTGTCCCCAAATGTGAAAACACTGTGACAAGCACATTATGCCCTGCCAGTTGGGGCTGCAGCTGCTGTTTTCCACCCTAGCACATGCCAGATCAAGACGTGAAGTGAGCCCTGACCGCATAGCTCCGTTGGTTAATGTTGGCCTACATATCAGAGTGTGGGTCATGGGTTCAATTGACGCTCAAGGGCATGTACCTGAGTTGCAGGTTCGATCCCCAGCCTCATTTAAGGTGCATGCAGGATGCAACCAATTGACGTGTCTCTCTCACACTGATGTTTCTCTCTCCTCCTCCTCCCCCCTCCCTTCCATTCTCTCTAAAAATCAATGGAAAAAATATCCTCAGGGAAGGATTAACAAAAAATAATAAAAACCCCAACTGCCTCTCTCAAGTCCGACCCTATGACCTCTTCCTGCTTCAGCTTTTCTCTGGCACTTATCAACAACCAACATACTTTATGCTGTTAATAAATGCATTTAGTGCATCTCACCCACCCACCCACCCCACTGACTAGAAGCCCTGTGAAGAAAGGGACTTCCAACCTTTTGTCCACAGTTGTGTGCCTCGTACTCATAAATGCTTGTTGATTGGACAAAGCCTGGTATCAGCTCGCTATGCATATAGAAGTGTGGTGTTCGGAAGGCAGTCATCAGGTCCTGTCCAAGCAGAGGCAGGAAGTCATGGCTTACTGTGAGCGCGCCATCCACGTCCTCCCATCTGCCTGTTTTTGCCGCGGTTACCAGTACAGCTAACCCTGAGCACCTGTCTGAAGCTGGTGCAGTTTTGTCATTTCCTTTCTCCTTCCCAGGAGCAGGCCATAGAGGTGCTGACCCGATCCAGCCTCGAAGTTGAGTTGGCCGCCAAAGAGCGAGAGATCGCCCAGCTGGTAGAGGACGTGCAGAGACTCCAGGCCAGCCTCACCAAGCTGCGGGAAAACTCGGCTAGCCAGATCTCCCAGCTCGAGCAGCAGCTGAGTGCCAAGAACAGCACGCTCAAAGTAAGGGCGCATTGGGGCCGGCAGGCAGGGGAGGGCTGGACACGCACACCCTTTGCCTTCCTCCGCACATGACCCTGGAGGGACCTCAGGGTTGGCCTGCATGGTGTTTCTGGCTCCCCACTGACACCCTGAGAGCTCTTCAATGGGTTGCTTCTGCCCCCAGTGTCTGGGACGTCCGATGGGTGTACTGACCATGGCAGGAGGCTTTGTCTCAGAAGCTGCCTTCTTGGCCCTGTCTTGGCCATTGCACAAGGTATTCTCATTTTTGTGGTCTGCAAAGATAATGGTTAAAATTTGATCTCCTTTAAAAGCAAAAATGACTGTTTAGGTATTCCTCAGTCTGAGCTCCAACCATCAACAAAGTTTTTCCCTCCAGCAAGAACAGTATAACAAGGCTCCCATGGGCACCTCAGTCAGAAGCACGGGTCTATAAGCTCCATCAGAGTTCTTTTTTGCAAGGTGTCATATCCGGAACTGTCAACAAATATGGCAACCTTGAACCTCTGTGAAGTAGCGAGAAGCAGAGTCCTGGAGCCCAAGGCAGGGAGACGGACTTAACCCCTCTGCCAGCTCCAGCCTGGGCAGTGCCTCCAGCACTTGTCAGAGGCCCTCTTCCCCAGTGCCCGCCCACCTGCCCACAGCACAGCTTCACCACCTGAGAGCTGGGACTGACCTGGACCTGGAGATTCTGAGTGCTTCTTGGATGGGTTAGTGCATTTGTCAAGGTTGCAGGCCGTCTGTATAGATACTCCATTAGTCTGGCTCTACTTGCCTTCCCTGGTTTTTGGAGGAAGCTGCCAATGGGAGGACCCAGCTCACTGAAATTTGGGCTCTCCTGGTGCCCAAAAGAAATGAAAGCAAGAGATGCCTTAAACCCTCTGGGCCATGCTCTCAAGCTGCAGGATATTTTTGTCCCTGTGATGTGCCACAGCAGCCCAAAATATGGTATTACTTCAGCACAGGGAGATCACACAGTCAGGCTCTTTCTTCCCAGATGGAATCACAGCAGCCCAGACAAAAGCTAGATCCTGTTGGGGTTTCTTAAAACAGTGTCCCAATTTCAGAACCTGGAATCATTTTCATTATATTAAGTATATATATATGTACTTTACTAAAAGTATTTCCAACCTGTTAAAGTTACTAGTATAATTTGAAGATAGTTCTGGGACCCTAGATTCACAGCATGTCAGAGCCGGAAGGGCCTCCTTGGAGTATCTTATTTGACTATGAAAAGATAGAACCAGCAATGGCTCAGGGTTCCTGCGCCCAGGCCAGACATTCCCCCCGCTCTGCCGTCCCTCCTGAGCCATGCTCACTTGGGCCTCCTTCTGCCCCCAGTCAGCATCTATTTGTGGAATTCGTGAATGAACGAGTGACTGACTGCAAGTATAGTCATTGTATACTAAATAAGGTGGGTCAAGATTAGTTAAAAGCCTGGCTGGTATGGCTCAGTAGATTGAGCATCGTCCCATGGACTGAGAAGTCCCAGTTCAATTCCCAGTGCGGAGTGTGCAGGAGGCAGCCAATTGATGTGTCTCTGTCATATTGATGTTTCTATCTCTCTCCCTTCCTCACTCTCTCTAAAAAAAAGCAATAAAAACATTATTTAAAAAGAAAAAGATTAGTTATAAAAGTGTCAAGACAACTTTTTCTTATGTAGAGTAATTCTAGACTGTAGGTAAGGTCCATTTTGATTATTTTTCCATTGAATTTTTTCTTCTCAACGCATGACCATGTTTCTGACCCAGAGCTAAGTTCTTAATAAGTCTGTCCTCATGGCAGTTCACTGTCCTGACCTCACTGGCACCAGCAGAACCCACAGTTCTCCCTCTCTAGTTTCTTCTTTGCCTCTTTGGGGTGGGTTTCATCCACTGCCCGAGAAACTGCCAGGTGCTTGGGCCTCTCAGGAAAGATGATCCTGCAATTGGGAAGATGTTTGAGAGCTGGTTACATTTGCCATCAACCATGGCATTTATTTCTTCAATGTGTCCTTTTCTCTCATCAGTCTGCTCAGTGAGTACCAGTACTCATTTTTTATTTCTAGATTAAATCTAATTTTCTCATGTTATAACCATTTCTGACCCTAGCACTGGCATTATTATTAGATAATTTGCCTTTTTCTCCTTTGTTACTATTAAAGGGCTTGACTCAAATACATTCTGCATTGGACTACATAAGAGGGAGGCTGTAGACCTTACATTTTTTATTATAGAGCAATTTCTTCTAAATCAGTTAAGGTTTTAATGTTTGCCTTCACAAAAAATGAAACGCAGTTTTCACAAATTAATGTTCTTTATCCGTGTCTTGGGGGAATTCTTTAATACTGTGCAGTTAATGAAACAATTCGGCAATACTTCTTCCAAAATTATTGCTCCCTTATCTTCATCTGATCTAATAATCAAAACATATCCTCTAGTAACAAGACTTCTCTGATTTTAATTATCTTAACCCCTTGTCGCCAGGAGTGAAGATCTACCCAATATCGAACCTGCACTCAAAAGGCATTAGCCTTCCCCAAAGGAATAAGGTTAATTGAATGAGATACCTTCCCAAGGCTTTTTTTTTTACCCCTAATGTGCATAATTTATAGTCTCAAATCTAAACTAAGCATCAATACAATTATTAGGAAAATATTTTATGAATGAAACCTGTCAAACTGACACAGCAGTGGTGGCCACACAGAAGCAGCAGCGAGCCATACCTGAACTTCCGGGGGACTCTCCTCTCCTCCTCCTCCTCCCTGTCCCACCCCCTTCTTCCCCTTCCCCCCAGCCCTTTCCTTCTTGGACCACCTTGTCCAGCTTTGGGGACTCTGAGACACACTGTGTGGTGCTCAAATGAGGGTGGGTTTGAGGATGCTGCAGCTTCCAGCTATCTCAGCATCTTGGAGTTATGGGTGCTTTGCCATGAACATTAACAATGGTCTTTGAGATAAATGCTGATGACAGTCACAGATGGGATGTGGGAGGTTGGTCTTACAAGGGCAGATGGCATAATGGGCAGAATCTTGAGATTATTGAGAATCTTGAGCTTATGGGGGTTTCTTCACCAGCACACTCTGGTGGTGCACTCTGTAACGGAATAGATCTGGTTGCCTTCTGTAGCACCTTGAAGTTCTCCATCTCTTTGCGATTGATATTTCTTCCCTTTACTTAGTCAACTGATTTGTAATTCTTTTGGCTAAATTGACAGTTGAATGTTTCAGTCTTTCTATCCCCGTGTTCCACTTTGTCGAGTTAAGTTCACCATGAACACATCGCTCTCCATATACAGCGGTGCATCTTCTAACCTTTACGTAGACATGGAATTGGGAGGTATTTCCATCTGCCTAACCAGGCAAGTGCTCAAGCACAGTGCCACTTGTAACGGATAATTCTGTATTTATAATTAATGAAATAACCCAGCTGCTACTAGAAGGCTGCTATTTTTTATAATTCTCTATTCTGTGGTCTTCTGTTCAGACACTTTAAAACAGAGGCAGTATAAATAGGCAGTCACCTGTATTATGCTCACTATAGCACAGAAAACAGTGCTACCAAAAGCTTCGATTTAAAATGATAGTTATAAGAAAAGATAGCTAAAAGAACACCAATCTCCCATAGGGAGAAATTAAATTTGTGGGCAGATGTATTAGAATTACCTCCAGGACTGTCTCCAAACTGCGCATGTCTCCCCAACCCTCTGCGTCCCTCGCCACACCCCAAAGTGCTAATGGGTCCCCTTGAGCCACTGTAGAGCATGCTGTGTCCCTCAAGGGGTTGGGACAGGAAGACAAGACTGATAACTGCTTTTCTGGATGCTGTCTCTTCAGGTACATAAGTTTCCTCACCAGGCAGTGTTTACTCTGCACAGAGGCTGCCCTTGGTGATGTTTCAACAAGCATCTTATCGACATCTCAGTGTGTGAAGCTCTACCACCCGCATTGTGTTTGACATTCACTGGGCAAGCAGGCAAGACGGTGATCACTGCCTTGAGGGGGAGGTCACTGAGGTTAGAAGAGGCCTGCAGTGTCTAGCCTGGAGCTATAGGGGAGACCCATGCATATGCCTCCACTGCACCCCACTACCACAGGGGAGACTTAGCCTGGATGACACGAGCAAGGTCTCACATCAACATCCTGAAAGCAGAGAAGCCTAGGGCCGAGCCTCCCAGAGCCTTGTCCTGCTTGGGTCTTAAAGGTACTGTGAGCAGATTGGAGGATAGGATAGAGGAAGCCTTCCACAGGGAGGAGGAATGGTGAAGATGGCCCCACTCGGGGAGCAGTAGCAGGGTCCCAGGGGAAGCAGTCTCAACAAAACAAAGTGGCCTTGTGCCACAGGCTTCGAGGGCTATGGTGGGATTGTGGTGGGAGCTGGAGGTCACAAGTGGGTTCCTATAAAATAACTGTGAACTACTGGAGATACTTTAGGGAGCTAATTACTTGTGGGCATCTATGATGAATCATGGAAAGACACCCATGCCTCTAATCACTTGGTAAGTAAATCCAGATACTTCACTTGCACAGTCCCCAGCTTGCCGCACCCTTAGCTGGCCATGACTCAGTGTCCAGGTGGCCTGTATTGGGCCGGGACCCTCTTGGTCTGACACCATACTGTGAGAAGGAGTTGGCTCCCATCTGCCCTGTGCCTAGGTCATACCTAGATCACAGCTCTCGGGAGTTGGAGGTGACCTGTGACGGAGTTGCCATACAGAGGCTCCTCTTCTCTCCAGAGCCACACTTCTCTAGCCTGCAGCAAGCCCTACAACTGTCACTCTCCCCCCCCCCCCCCCAACCCCCTGTCTGGTGTGCCGTCTCCTCTTTTTGTCTCAGTTCTCAACATCCATGTATGCACAGTGCCTCCCCAGCCATCCCCAGGCTCCTCCCCTCTGGCCAGCATCAGTAGATCCTATATTTACATACATGCTACTTCTCACCAAGGAGTCATGGGGACTGGAAGGAGTCCCCGTTCAGGTGAAAAGGAGGTACATGCTGCCTAGTCCTGAACCCCAGAAAAACTGTAACGGCCCTAGGGCCTGTGCCTCAGACCCCTGCCCTGGGCCAGGGAACTCAGTCATACTTGCTCAGCTCCAACTGGTGGCCCCTCAGCCCAGAGCTATAGGTGAGTACGAGGGGTAACACACCAACACCTGAGCTATCAGTCTTCAAACAGCACTGCTAAGAGCCTGGCTCTGGTCATCCTGGAGGAGAAAGGTGGAGCCATCTGCAAACAGCAACACAGTCACCTTTCTGGCCCAATCTGTTTTATTGCCAAGAGGTGTTGCTTCCTTGACCCCTCTCTGTGCGACAGGGAAGACAAGGCCTTTCCCAAGGGTCTTCCATGCCAGAGGTCCTTTATGTTGTAGCCCCAGGGCACGGAAAGCCCCATGTTATAACTTGACTAAGACAGATATCTTTTATAAATGCAGTCCTTAATTTGCTATACACCAAAATACTTTGCTTTTTTTTTAATTCTCACTCGAAGATATTTTTCCATTGAATTTTTTTAGATAGAGTGGGAGGGAGGGAAAGAGAGAGAAAGAAACATCAGTGTGAAAGAGACACATCAATTGGCTGCCTCCTGCATGACTCCGACTAGGGCCAGAGATCAAACCTGCAAACCCAGGTATGTGTCCTTGACTGGAACCGTGACCCTTCGGTCCATAGGCTGACACTCGTAAAACCACTGAGGCATACCGGCCATGGCTGGTCTTGGGTTCTTAATTAAGCTGCCCCCAAGTAGTGGCAGAAATTTAGTTCTCAGTGAATACTTATATCCAACCAAATTGCAGGTTTCAGTCCTAAGGCCTTCTGATCTGGGCTGACCTCAGGTCTGCAAAAAATACCTCTAAATGTGCTCTCAGAAAGATGGACTGGGACTTGGTAATGGTCCTGCATCCAAGACCCCACAGTGCCCATATCTGCACCATGTCCTTGCCTTGTGTCCCTTAGCTCATTCCTTTAAGGTCATTGCTGCTATCCCATTTTATAGACAAGTTTATTAACATGTCCAGAGTCACCCAGCTTGTAAGGGACAGAGTTGACTCCAGGTTCACTGCCGTGCCAGGTTCACTGCCATGCCAGGTTATGTATTTTCCTCTCTCGCTGCCTTTCTTACTGCCTTTCTCCTGATCTCTGAACATGACCAAGTTTTATGTGTGTTTCGTATCCAGCATCAGTGAATTCCTCAGTCTGAAAGGTGTTTCTGTATCCCAGCAGCACTGGGTAATCTTTTGTTTGGGAAGGCTGGCACATTAGTGCTTCCTGCTATTCCACTACAGGGAGAAGAATGAAATAATCAGTTTTTCATGAGCACCTTCTGAGAATCTTTTGTCGGAAAATGAGTGCATGCTACCCCGTTTGATTATGGCTGAGAAACCATTATAAACAGAACATTGGCAAGAGGTCTTAAAAAGGAACTAGGGCAGCGCAATTTCACGCAATGGAAAATGCACAAAACTGCCAGCAAATGCAATAGAAAAGGTGGACTAGATGAATTTTGTTTACAGAACACCTGAATTCTTGAAACAGGGAGCAGCGTGGGATTCAGGTAAATGTCCAAGCTGATCGCCAGATGAGCTGCTCCTCCCTCAATTCTAAAAGGTTCTCAGTTGGCTTTAAACTGTGATCATAGTGGTGGTGTTGAAGCAGAAAGCAACTGGAAGCCCTGGAGATAGGAGGGTGCTTTGATCTGGCACCGGAATTTGTTCACCTGGGCTTGGAAACTCGCTAACTCGTTAGAACCCTCTCTCCAAGCTGGGTCTTTGTGTTTTATATTAAGTTGCCTTGTTTCCCCCACAGAGCTCTCTTTGGGGGAGAAAAAAGCAAACTAGTCCAAAACGCCTTTGTAGAGGGGAGCAACTCTGCTGATCACCCTGTGTCAAAGGCCCTTCCAGGCAAGAAAGCCCTGCCGAGCTCTGCGCAAACAGCACATCAGCGCCCCGCTAGCACATGACTTGAATGGTGCATATTAGAGCATCATGCTGCCTGGGAGATGTGCTGTCACTCCCCTGGGCCCCCTGGCCAGAGCCCCTCATGGCCAGGGCACTCTCAGAGGGCTTTCCCCACAGGACTCAGAACCGTCAGGGAAACCCCTGGCCATCCAGCTGAACAGGCCTCCATTCCTAAGATCCCCTACAAATGCTTTTTCTTGCTGCCTATCTGATGACAACCTCAATAGCAAAGGGGCTGTATCTTTTGTTTGAGGGTCCCACCAAAGGTATTGACAACTAGCTGTATGCATCAGCTAGCCAAACATATTTTGTGAAAAGCCACATGCTGCTTTCAAAACACCAGTAAAGGTTCTCTTCATTCTGTTTGCCATTTCATGGTATTCGAAAAAAATGGCTTTTTCCTTATTTTCAAATTGTATGTCACAGCCTTATATTGCCGTGTGTGTGTGTATGCCTGTGTCCACTGACATAGGTGTTCACACTGGACCACAGAGTGAAAGACAAAAGACAACGCCGCATGTTATCAGCTTTCATTTGTACTTGTTTGCATTCCTTATTAGGGACCACTGGCTTACAGGGAATGTAGTCAGTGAAATCTGCTTAGTCCGTTTGGCTGCCATAACAGAATACCACAGACTGGGGGACTTATAAACAATTAACATTTATTTCTCACAGTTTCAGAGGCTGGGAAGTCCAAGATCAAGGCACTGGCAAATTTGGTGTCTGGTGAGAGCTTCCTCCCTGACTGCCTTGTCTCTATGTCTTCACAGGATGGAATAGAGTAGGCAAGGGAGCTCTCTGGGGCCTCTTTATGAGGCCACTAATCCCATTCATGAGGTCTCCACTGTAATGACCTAATCACCTGCCAAAGACCCCATCTCCAGATACCATCGCAGTGGGAGTTAGGATCTCAACACATGCATTGCTGGGAAGGGGGAGGGAGAGGAAGGACACAAACATTCAGTTTATAGCAGAGCCCATCAACCTATTTAGACATGGCGACTAATAAAATTCCTCTCTGTTTTCAGCAACTGGAAGAAAAACTCAAAGGACAGGCTGACTATGAAGAGGTGAAGAAAGAGCTAAAGTAAGTGTGGAGATGCCTGCTCAGCTACTCACAGGCCAGAGCTCACTGGGGGTATCTACTAAAAAACACCATGGCAGCGAAGGGGCAGCCCCAGGTCCTGGAACTTGGCTTCAGCAGACGCTGCACTATAGGCCATGTCCTGGGCTGCCCAACGCTGTGGGTGTTTGCCCTTAAGCCTGTGCCTGAATTCTTTGGACTTTTTATAAAATTGTGCATTTAAAGTATGGCAGTATGCACAGAATTAGAGGAGACATTACCATTTTAGAAATTATAAAATATGAGCTTGTTTTTCAGTTATAAATTCCCCAAGCAGAGCAGAGCAAAGCAGGGAAGCATTTTCCATTTGAAAGAATACACCTGGCCTCACTAGACTCCAGACTTTCTTTTCCCAACCGCCAATTCCCCATCCGAGAGGCAGCATCTGAAAGCATGTTGTCCTGATGCTTACATTTTCAAGCTTAGATGTTCCCTCCTCAGGTCCCACCACCCACCCTGACCCTCCTGCCTCACACTCTTTCTTTCCCCAGAGCCTACCCTTCGCCCTCCTGCAGCTCCCAGGCTCTGGTCTCTAACCTGTCCCCTAGTTCTAGCACCCTCCCAGCTCATGACCTTCTCCCCTAGCCTCTATTCCCAGAAACTAAGACTCCTTGACCAGCTTACAGTACATCCCTGATTTGTTCCCTCCCATCTATCCACCTGCCCAGCTGGCCCTCACCTTTCCCAGAGCATCCTTCCCACCTTCCTGCCAGCCCTTTTGTTGCATCGCAGCCCCCAACACATCAGTATCCGAAAGCCACCCCACTTGGTGGCTTTTCTGATAAAATGTGTTCTAGGTCTCCCACTTCCTATTGATTTAAGTGCTTTTTCAGATACATGCTCACATTTTCTTCCCATGTCTGTCCCGGGGTCACCATATCTCCAGTGTTCTGTAAAACAGTCTGCTCCTTCAAGGCCCATCTCACTCTCTAACTCCTCAAGACACACCTTGTCTCCAGCCCAATGAGCTCTCTCCTGCCAATGTCTTCTATAGGTTTTCTCTTCCCCGTGCTCTCTGGATTTTGTCTTCCTGAAATAGCCCATAATGTTGGTGAGGACGGGGAGCAGAGTGGTTCTAATTCTCCAATGTCAGGCGCATAGTGGGTCGTCTGTAAAGACATGTTGACTAAATGAAGAGACACTGGTGTTTTTAGCATAAACTTAGAGACTCCATCTTCTCTTTTTTTTATCCTCACTTGAGGACAATTTTTTTTTTTGCATTTATCTTCAGATAGAGTGGGAGGGAGAGAGGGAAGAAGAGAGAGAGAGAAACATCGATGTGAGAGAGACACATCGAGTGGTTGCCACCCACACAACCCCAACCAGAGCCGGGGACAAACTGCAACCGAGGTACGTGCCCTTAGCAGGAACTGAACCCAGGGCTCTGGTCCACAGGCCAACACTCTAACCGCTGAGCCAAACCAGCCAGGGCGAGACTCCCATCTTCTCTTACATGATCCTAAAGAAGCTCTCAGACAAGAACGTAGTTGTGAACATGATGGCCACTAGAAAGGACAAGTTCCAGGCTTCGGTCTGATGTGAGGGGGCCAAGTTCTTTTAGTATTTCCCATAGCACGCTATGAAATAAAACTGCCTAGTTTACCCGCATTAGCTCCCCTTCATTCTGTTTTGTTGGTTTACATGACAGAGACCTCTGCAAAAGTATAACTGTAGAGAAACTAAGCAGTCAGCTGCTTACTGAACCTCGTGGTGGCTGTGGCAGAATGTGGTCTCTTGGGGCATGGGCACATTTACACACTGTGTTCTCCTGGTGACACTTCTGTGGAGCTTAAAGAGGGCAGAAGCTAAAGTCATGGCTTCGAGAAAGCTGGGAGAACTCAGGTGGCCCATGGCTGGGATGTGCAGCCCCTCTCATTCCCACCTTCCCTCCGTGTGTGAGAAGGAAAGTAATGTCTGTGCTAAAGAAACACTGGCAACAGCAGTTATGGGCACCTCAACTCACTCAGCTCTTGGACTTGTTGAAACAGGCTAGAGACTGATGTGATTTCAATGACAAGGAGAACAAAAGAGAAATAAACTTGCTCTCCCACACCTTTGCGGTGGTGCTCCTTCCCCAGCCCAGGGCTGCAGAGAAGGTCTGTGCCAGCTTTTGAGCCATCCAGCTGCCAGAGAAGCCATGTTTTTTACCCATTTCCCCATCCCCAGGTGCCAGCTACCAAGTAAGCATGTGGGGCGACGGCCCTGGGGTGCTGAGATTTCTGTCTCTCTGGCTCCCTTGTAATGAACTCTTTCATTCCCACTTACTTTACAAATACATTCCACTTGCATCAATGTTATGCCTGTGTTCAACTTTAAAATTATACTCTGAACAGACCTGGTGTGATTCCATATGGAATGATTTACATGATGGGCAAGAAACTTTTGCTGGCCAACTGCTAGTTGAATAGTTATTCTAGAGACGTTATCAGATTATAATGCTGCCAGGGAAGTTGTTAAAGTTGTCAGATCCTCCATTCCTGGAGAGCAGGAAATTGCGATGTTGATGCTCATTAGTATGGCCGTTGCCAAAGGTATGGGTAGGAAATAACCACCCTGTCTTGCTCTTCACAGTATTCTGAAGTCCATGGAGTTTACACCGTCCGAGGGAGCTGGGACACAGGTACATGGTATCACTTTGCTTTTAGTGTGTGTGAGCATCAGCATGTCCACAGTCACTGTTTGTCCCTAGGCTAGCTTCACCATCTTGGTATTTCTGAGACCTCTGCCTACAACTGACCAGTCATTCCTCGAGAACATTTAACCAAGTTAAAGCAAATCAGCTTTATTTAAAAGGAAAAGTTAGTGTTTTCTAAACTGGTGACTTAGTGTAAGTGAAACTGATTTAAGTTGGTACTAAAAACCTGAATAAAAACAATTTCAGGTTGTGTTAAAGATCAGTCCAAAAAGGCAAGGTGACAATGCCATGTGGTAACCTGGTAGCCAATTAAAATTTAAGTCATCTAATGGAATCCTGCTGCTGATGCCCAGAAAGCAGCTGACTCTGCAGCTGGCACCTTTACAGTGTGTCTGACAGGTGTGTGGCTCTGCGGCCAGATGAGGTTTAGACTATTTCAACTTCGGGAAGGAATAGAGAATAGTTGTCTAGAAGAAAAATTACTTCAACTGAAATGAATTCTTTTGGAAAGGAACTTGAGCGTTTTCCACACATGTATCAATCACCTTCGGGGAAAGTCAGATTTCTGTAACATGTCAGAGTCAGAGAGTTGGGTATAGAACTGTGGAGGCAAGGGTTGCGGGATCTGGTGGCCCAGAGAGTGAGAGGGTGGCCCGCCCACAGTGAGCCCCACTCTGCCCTGTCTAGGACGCATCCAAGCCCCTGGAGGTGCTGCTGCTGGAGAAGAACCGCTCGCTGCAGTCCGAGAACGCCGCACTGCGCATCTCCAACAGTGACCTGAGCGGTAGGTTCACAGGGTCTCACGTGCCATGCTCGGTCCCTTCCGGGGGTCGAGGAAGAGGAAGGTGAACCGTGAGTCTGGGCCGATGCATGACGGGAACATCACCCGTTGATGAGAACCTTGACTAATAAATGTTTGGTCTCCTCGTCCTCCTCACTGCTCCTCTCCTTCCCTTCCCCGCCTGCTTACGATGGTCAAGGTGAGACGTGTGGCCGCAGAGCGTCTGCGGAGGTCAGTTAGAGCCGGTGTTGTAGATCTCAGGAGGAACACTCGGAGGATGTTGGCTTTCTGATCTCTTCCTAGTTGTGCGGCCTCTCTCGTGGTGTTTCCGGGGGCTGCTGACAAGGTTGGCCCTGCCCTTCCAGGCTCAGTGGAGCTTTTCTTCCTTTGTCAGGTTTTCCTTGGGAACGCATCCCCCATCCTTAGCCTTTCTTTGCTCATCCTAAAATGGTGGCGTCACTGACTGCTTCTGGTTTTGGCAGCTGGTAAACCGTTTAAAAGTGTCTTGGGCTCCGATGATATTTCATTCTTAAAATGTGCGTGCCTTCGATCGAGTGGACTCGGTGCAGTGCATTCACCTCAGAGCAAGTGGTATGAGAGAATCCGTTGGTCCCAAAATGTCAGTGTTTGCTGCTCCTCAGGTGGGGCCCTCCTGGTAATAGCTCGAATGCCAGAGGCCCAATCAGAGGCCCGCGACTTGTCAACTCTTTACTGTGTGTGGTACCGGCTCCTTGTCACTTTAGGAGTTTGAATCTATGTCAAGGGGACTCTCCAGGCTGCAACGTACAAGAAAGGTGCAAACATGAAATGCATGTTGCTTGTTTCCGGGGGGCCTCGTTTGGCTGATTTAAAAATTCAATTGAAAAACAAACCAACACTCCTCATTGGCCCTTGTAAAATCTGCACTTTTTTTCCCTTTTGTGGGGCAAACTGCATTTTGGTCTTGGTTTTTTTTCCCTTTTGAATCCCCCATAATGCATTATGTTTGCCCTTCCTTGTAGGGTCAGCCAGGAGAAAAGGGAAAGACCAGCCTGAGAGTCGGCGTCCTGGACCTTTGCCGGCGCCCCCTCCTCAGTTGCCCCGCAACACGGGGGAGCAGGCTTCCAATACTAATGGTACACACCAGTTCTCACCAGCGGGGTTAACTCAAGACTTTTTCAGCTCATCCCTGGCAAGCCCCAGCCTACCCCTGGCTTCTACGGGAAAATTTGCACTAAACTCTCTCCTCCAACGACAGCTAATGCAGTCCTTCTACTCCAAGGCCATGCAGGAAGCAGGAAGCACAAGCATGATTTTTTCAACAGGTCCATACAGCACAAACTCCATATCTTCCCAAAGTCCATTACAACAAAGCCCAGATGTAAATGGCATGGCCCCGTCTCCCAGCCAGTCAGAAAGTGCTGGGAGTGTCTCCGAGGGCGAGGAGATAGACACTGCAGAAATCGCCCGGCAGGTGAAAGAGCAGTTGATCAAGCACAATATCGGACAGCGCATTTTCGGACATTATGTCTTGGGACTGTCTCAAGGGTCTGTGAGCGAGATTCTGGCCCGGCCCAAGCCATGGAATAAACTGACTGTTCGCGGCAAGGAGCCTTTTCACAAGATGAAGCAGTTCCTCTCGGATGAGCAGAACATCTTGGCTCTTCGTAGCATCCAAGGCAGACAAAGAGGTGAGAGACTTTCAAGGGTTGGCGCCAGCGTGTGAGCCTGTCACAGTGGTGTGTGCATGTCTGTGTGTGATGAAACATTTGTGCATCACATCAGGTAAAACTCTCTTCAGTTCTACCATTTCCAGAGTTCAAGGGTCGACTGGCATGAGCAAAGCTGTTAGATTTGGGAGATCTGGCCTCTGAAATCCGTTCAGGACCTCGCTGTAGTAAACTCAGTATTTCAGTACTGTGTGTTGAATCAGGGGAATTACATTACATGCAGCATCCTTATGTGTTTAGTGTCCAGTGGTCCAATTGGCCTTGGTTGCTGGCCTCACATGAGGAGGAGTCCTTGGGTACCATGTAGCCCTAGAGCAGCAGCAGCAGCCCGGCTCAGTCCTCACACAGAGCTGGTTCCATGGGGAGGGTGTATCAACCACATGTTCTTCCCACCGCACAGAAAAGAGTGTGTCCTGTGGTCAGCTCTCTCCCAGTGTTTATGTTCTGTTAGTGATTTATTATAAGCAAAACACGCCTGCCATGAGTTAAACACATGAAAGTTTCATTAAAACACCCTTACTACCCACCCTCCATAAAAATAAAAAGTCATTCTGGTCCCTAATTGAAAGAATTCCTTCTCTCTCTAACAACAGGGGATCATTCTGCTAAATCAAGAGTGATAGAGGTAATCTTAGATGCATTTGAAAAACCTTGAAATTTAGGCTCAAAACAAACAGAAGGGAGACATTCAAACAGTATCACTTTGCACAACGCACATCAGTGGCGATGTTAACTGAAATGGACTGTCTTTGGATGATTAATGTGAGCTTTGTCCCGGGGGCTGGTGGGCGATTTGCTTGGCGGCAGTGCTCCCTCCGTTTGCCCCTGATGGCATTGGTGCCGCAGGCCTGAGGTCCATCTGATCTCCTTTTGCAGCAGAGCCTTGGCCTCTGAGGCCAGTCAGCCAGGGAAGGGCCTCTCAGAAGTTTCTAGTAGCTCCCGAGTTGGCACAGGAAGCCCTGAGCCCTCTCAGTAGTGACAGGTGGCTCAGATTTCATGTCACGCAGCCCATATCGTCAACACCACCATCCCCCTGATTGTTTTGTTCTTACCACACTTGTTTTTCAACAGAGAATCCAGGCCAGAGCCTGAACAGACTATTTCAGGAAGTACCGAAACGAAGAAATGGGTCTGAAGGTATGTTGCAGGCAGGTGTTTTTCTTTGCAGTTAGTAACCTAGGAAGCAGCATGTCCTTAGCTGTATATTTGGGTTAAAACTGTGCAGTGTGATTCTGGCCTGGAACCTGATGGAAAAACAGAGCTAGTAAGTATAAAACAAAGCACGGGTTCAAATACACAAGCCCCTTCCTCCTGAGCTGCTTGCACTGTACTGAGTGCAGAAGAGGTGAGAAGCGGGCTCCACCACTAAGCATTAGTCCCCAAATAAGAATCCCGTCCCTCTTTAGAGTCAAATTATGCCTTTCCCATTTTCTCAGAAGCAGGTGAAAGAATAACAGTTGTTGCTCTGAGAAAAGTCAGGTGACTAAGTGAAATGAGATACTGCTGCTTCCTTGTACTCTCTTTTAACTATGAAATATGTTAAAGGTGCTACGGAGTGGACATATTCCAGTCATAATCAGTTTTCCTGTGGGCCCTGGCAAGCCAGCCCCACTGCACTCCTTGGAGTTGCATCTTTAATGGGGCTTGATCCCAGTGGCATGCTGGGTTTTAAATGGTGTGGTGTGGTGTGGTTTATGTTTAGTAAGGTAGTGAAAAATTAAAACATGGACAGTTTCCAGAAAGAACTGGGGCCAGCCCCCGGGCCATAGTAGCTTCAGTGCATCTGTACTTGTGGCTACTCTGCAAAGCATCACTATGTGACCAAAAGACTGAATTCTTGTCTTTGAGGGATTTCTGTAGGTTCCTCTCCTCATTCATACTTTTTTAAAAGACAGTATGTGATCATAGATCCAAAAATTTAAGTTAAGCCTTCAGCCTCTTCACCTTGTACATTCAAATGATTGATAGGTAATCAGCCTCAACCCTTTACCCTTTCACATGCAGAACCTTGAACATAGCCCCATGCCAAAGCAGTTGTTGGAATTGCTTTTAAATGACTCATGAAAACCATTGCCTTTTAATCCTTCATCTTTTTTTATACCAGATTAAATGATTTGCTCTCTCTGGTCCCAACCCGTGGGTGTCCAGCTTGGGTAAATGTGAGAACTTGTCCCACTGGCCAAGTAACACTTAACGCCAGGTAGATTCAGCAGGAAGCCCTTCCTGCACGGGGTCACGGTACCGCTGTGAAGTTGCAAACGCAGCAGGTACAGGTAAATGGGAGGCGACACCTGCCTCCTTTCCATCACCGGCCTCAACTCCTGTGAGATCTATTTATCAGAATGACATCTTTATGCAGCACTGGTTTTTGTTCCAGGTGTGGGTTAGATGTCATTGGTGTGGCTTCTCCTTGCAGGTAACATCACCACCCGGATCCGAGCCTCAGAGACCGGGTCCGATGAAGCAATCAAGTCCATCCTGGAACAAGCCAAAAGGGAGCTGCAAGTGCAAAAGACTGGTACGGATTCCACCTCTTTGTCTACTATTTTCCAAATTTAATTAGAATAGTGTTGTGGGACATTCTGGTCAGTGGTAGTTAACTTTTCATTTAAAAAAATAGAATGTGTGTTTTCAAGCATTTAAGCAAGCGCAGAGTGGTAGGTCTCTGTGATACCTATTTTGCTGACTTTGAGCAGCCCTGGCAGCTGAGGATGGACCACCACAGCACCCCAAGGATGCTGCGAGGGTCATGTGGGGTCTCCCTTGGTTATTGGGTCTTGTCCCCAGGCTGCCTACTCCTTCATTGCTTGTTCAGTGAGTGAGCTCAACGCTCCCTTCTGGGAAGCAGGCCTGGGCTGGGCATTTTTACCTTCTTTAAACTAGGTCTTCAAACTAGTTCCTTAAAACAACCCTGGAATATAGATTTTATTATCCTATTATTCCTGATTAATATGCTGAAAGTTAGAATAATTTGCCCAAACTGATTAACTGATATACCCTGGATGGAAACCCTGATCTCTCAACTCTTGTCTCAGCACTTTCCCCTGTGTTTTCATCTGCCTCCTTCCAGAGATCCCCGAGCGGTAGGAAACGACTCCTTGTGGGATCGGCCTGACAATGGACGGAGCTTTCAGTTTGGTGTGGTTCTTACCCTCAAGGCCAGAGTTGAGGTTTAAGCCAGTGCTCCTCTGGGTGGCTGCACAAACAGAAAGCTTGGCAGAGCACCCCTGGCAGCGTAGGAGAGATCCCCAAATTGAGAGTGGAAAAGCCATCCTGGCCGGTTTGGTTCAGTGGTTAGAGTGTCGGCCCGCGGACCAGAGAGTCCTGGGTTCGGTTCCCAGTGGGGGCATGTACCTCAGTTGCAGTTTGTCCCCGGCCCCGGTTGGGGCCGTGTGGGTGGCAACCACTCGATGTGTCTCTCTCACGTCGATGTTTCTCTCTCTTCCTTCTTCTCTCCCTCCCTCCCTCTCTTCCACCCTCCTGCTCTATCTGAGGATAAATGCAAAAATATCCTCGAGTGAGGATTTTTTTTAAAAAGCCCACCTTGAGATGTACCACCTTCCCTTCTGCAGAAGTGGTGGTACTGCCTGTATCCCGAGGATGCTGTGAGGTTCATGTGAGTTGGAAAAGGGAAGGCCTTCTGTTAACCAGTAGGGTCCAGTCCTCAAGAGACATTAATGATTGTAACTGTTGTTTGAGGCATTTTGCAGCCTCATTTAAAGGAAAAGAGCTAGCTTGTACAATTTCCTCCCCTAGATATGAAGACACATTACAGAGTTGGCCCAGCTAGGGGGCGTGTTCAGCCTAGCACCTCTCAACCAGGGTCTCCCTTCACAGTTATCTGGGAGCTGGTTGAAAATGCAGATGCTGGTCCAGCCCCATACTTGCTTTTCAATCAGATACTTCAGAGCTGTGACCTGTGGCATGTGCATCTTAACAAGCCCAGCAGGTGTTTCTGGTGCACAGCCCTAGTTACTCAGTGATCTAGTCTGTTACCCATCCCAAGTTCACAGATGGAAATCCTGAGGCCCAGCGATGCCTTGTGACTCCCCCTGAGTCCTGCCCATTGCCCCTCATTGTGGGGCTCAGAGTTGCTGGCCACACGACAGTCCCCCACCCAGAAGAGAATCTGGGCTAACTCAAACACGGTCACTTACACCAGGAGACTCTGGTCTCGCATCACTATTGTTAACAGAAATTACATTTCTAAAGTTTGACAAAACCACTAGAATTTTGGAATACAGCACACAAGAGTATTGTTTTTAAATCATCAGGGAAAGAAAGTCCAGGATGTACCCTAAGCATTTACATACACCCTCCCTCTTATCACACTCTGTGATAATAAATCCTTTTGGTTGGTAATAGAGGCATGTGGGTGGGGACAGAGCAGTAATGTGAGTCCTTTTATCACTGCTCAGCCAAGATGCATGAGTGTCTCACTGATAGGGCAATGTTGGGCAAATAGAGCTGTGCAGTTCTCCCAAATAATCCGCATTTTATGGTAGGTCAAGTTAGGAAGAAGTGTAGTGAAAGAAGCATATTTCCCACCAAAAGTGGTGGTTTAGCCACCGTCTAACCTCTGTGTTTGCTTCGTGCAGCAGAGCCCGCCCAGCCTTCTTCCACATCTGGCAGTGGGAACTCCGACGACGCCATCCGCTCCATCCTGCAGCAAGCCCGCCGAGAAATGGAAGCCCAGCAAGCTGCCCTCGACCCCGCCTTAAAGCAAACTCCACTGTCACAGACTGACATTGCCATCCTGACCCCCAAGTTGATATCCACCTCTCCCATGTCCTCGGTGTCCAGCTACTCTCCTCTAGCCATCTCCTTAAAGAAGCCCCCTTCCGCCTCTGATTCCAGCACCTCTGCTCTGCCTAACCCCCCGGCCCTCAAAAAGGAGTCCCAGGACACGTCTGGACTGGACCTCCAGGGAGCAACCGACTCAGCACAGGGCGTCCTGCGACACGTGAAAAACGAGCTGGGTCGCAGCAGCGGGTGGAAGGACCACTGGTGGAGCACTGTGCAGCCGGAGAGAAAGAGCAACGCTCCTGCCGAGGAAACTAAGGTCGAAGAAGCCGGCAGCGGGAAAGAAAAAGGCAGCAACAGCCAGGCACGGGCTGAGCGCAGCCAGCTCCAGGGACCCTCCTCCTCTGAGTACTGGAAAGAGTGGCCCAGTGCAGAGTCACCTTATTCCCAGAGCTCTGAGCTGAGCCTAACCGGGGCCAGCCGCAGTGAGACGCCCCAGAACAGCCCTCTGCCCTCCTCCCCGATTGTGCCCCTGTCCAAGCCCGCCAAGCCCTCTGTCCCTCCACTGACCCCTGAGCAGTATGAGATCTACATGTACCAGGAGGTAGACACCATCGAGCTCACTCGGCAGGTGAAAGAGAAGCTGGCCAAGAATGGAATTTGTCAAAGAATCTTTGGAGAGAAGGTAAGGGATTCAATTTGGGGGCTTGTGTTTTCCCATCTTTTTTCATTGCTTAGAACTAAGTATCTAGAGGACATTGCCATCACTCGTTGAATTAACCAAAGAGCATAATGGGTTGTCCACTCCCAAACTTCTGGATGGCTGACTGGTGAATGTTCCATTTGCTGCATCCCTGGTAAGGACCAGGTTCTGGGCTAGACCCTCTCACCTACTGGACTCCTTTAGACCACTCAGTCACACTGTGAGGGGTAGAGTGAAGTTACCATTTGACAGCTAAGGAAACCAAGGCTCAGGGACGTTAACTAACTACATGCCCCAAACTGGCAGGTGACTGAATTCAAGTCCTGACTCTGCTGTCAAGTGCTGCCCAGAGACACCTCTGCAGACTGTTTTGGCCATAAAAAGATCTGATTACATAGAGAGACAACCAACGTGCAGAGAACACAGCGCTCCATTCTCCTAAAAGGCAGCCTCCCTGAGGGGCATGTGGCTGGGTTAGCAGTGGCCTCCAAGGGGCCCACCTACCCACGCCTCCCCCCACACTGTCCTGCCTTCAGTTCAGTGTTTGCAGGGTACGGTGCTATGAATCCTTGCAATATCTAATTGTGATCTCTTTGTCCTGATTTTGCAAAAGGTGATGGGGGGAATAGAAATGAAGATGGGAATTTAAAGTCCCTTGAAATTTCTAGTTCAGTGTTGTAAAAATATCATTTGAGAACATTTAAATAGACATTTGTGCTCATGCCTTAAATTTAGCAGACTTAATAGTGTTGAACTTGTTTGGCCCATGAGTGTAGTTTATTCTGGAACTTGAGAAATTTTCAAAAGACTGATCGGATGCAGCCCCTAAATATCCCTGGGCTGCATCTGTGTCCTGTGGGGAGTGTTTGTGCCCATACATATGTATGGCCATATGTGAGCATAAGAAAACTTGGGAATGTATGTGCAACTTGTCGATCGTCTACAGTGAGTTTTACTCTCAGACTGGCTCCCCCATTGCCAGCAGCTCACCTCTGGGCCCTCACCATACAGCAGGATATGATCAAAGACAGGGAATCTTTCTAAATGCCAACTTGGCCCAGCACCAGCAAAGGAGGCTGGCTTCCAACATCCCGCCAGCATCCACTGCTTCTGCCTCTAAAGGGGTCCTTGGCTCCAGCACCTCAGCCTTTCCTGGCGCCACCAGGCAAAGAGCAAGATGGTTTCAATGTTTCCTCTTGGGTTGTCAAGACAACGACCCTGCAGCCTTGGCAGGATCAAGACCCCACCCCTCCCTTCCCAGCCTGCCTCTCCCTGGGAGCTGAAAGCTGTGACTATAACTATGGCTCCTCACGCCAGGGCGTCAGCCCACCGGTGACCTTGAAAAGCTTATTCCCCCACCCCAGGCTGTCCCCATCCTCTAGGCAGTAGTTCTCTGCTCCACCCAGAAGCACTCCCTGCATGTTCTCTGTCTCTGTCTCATTTCCCGTGCGTTTAGTGCATGTCACTAAAATATTTTGCAGCCTCAAGCTCAGCCCTGGGCGCTGATGCACTGTCTTTGTCTGCCACTCCAGGTGCTGGGCCTGTCCCAGGGCAGTGTCAGTGACATGCTGTCCCGGCCAAAGCCGTGGAGCAAGCTGACCCAGAAAGGCCGAGAACCCTTCATCCGGATGCAGCTCTGGCTAAACGGCGAGCTGGGCCAGGGTGTCCTGCCGGTCCAAGGACAGCAGCAGGGGCCAGGTGAGGGCAGCCCTGGGCTGCTGCAGGGAGGGAGAAGGAGCATCTCTGCAGGGAGGCGGACAACCACATGGCACTGGAGACAGAGAACTACCCCCCTTCCTCTACCACCTGTTGCCATGGGACTAACTTCAATTTTTAGGAGAGAGAGAAGATTGTGCCTAGCTAATTTTATAAGCAGCAGAAAATGAGTTACCAATTAAGAAAATGCTATTTATACATAAATATAGGTAAAAGTCAAGTAGCTAAATCAGGGAATCAGGAAAGAAAATCAATCAGCCAAAGGCACAGAAGTGAAAGATATGGGCGACAGCTTCTTCCTGTTCCTCAGTCAGGGTCCTGCCTTTTACCAGCAGCACTTTGCCTGCCTGTGTGGACCCTGCATTCTGGTCTCTCCCATAAGGAGTGAGGAACCCTCCCTAAGGCCTTTGGGACCTTATACTGTCCCCCCTCTGCTGTGCTCAGTGCATTAGGAAGCTTAACACCGCTGGGCTTTTTCACCATTTAATTGCATTTCTTTTTCTTGTTTAGTCCTCCATTCTGTGACGTCACTACAAGATCCTCTGCAGCAGGGCTGTGTAAGCTCAGGTAACTAGCTGGTTCCTGTTTTGTATGAAATATTTCCCTGCCATGTACGTTTTCCTGTCCTCTGGTCTTGAGCGGGGAGACTCCATTCTCTTTCTGGATCAGGGAGCTGAAAACACTGTATGCTGTTGGCAAACTGCTTTCCTCAGAGTTGTAGTTTCTGATGAGGAGCAAGAGGGTCGGCAGCTGAGTACAGAGCACCTGCAGTGTTTTCTTGCTCCTCACTACATTCCTTCATCAGTTTGTCAGCTTCTAGGCGTGAAGCCTTGTGTTCGGGGCTGGGGGGCTGCAGTTCAAGTCAGAGACAGAGTCTGTGCTTGGGGCTTCCATTAACAGGAAGGCACAAGGAATGGGCATGCATCGCTCTCCCAGTGGGGTCATGGTAGGGGGCAGTCGAGTTCCTTTGGAGATACTGGGCCGCCTTCAAGCAAGAGGGAAATGAAGGAGGTGGAGTCTCAGTTCAGTATGTGACTGGATGGAGAGCCAGGGACACAGCAGAGTGGGCCTTAGGCTGGGGATCCAGCCGGGGAGCAGGTGATGAAGGGCCTGCAGTGCGGGCAGAGATAGCATCTGAGAGCTGTGATGTCCTTGTGGTACCTCTGCTGTGGGGCCCCCTAACTGCAGCGCTTGGATGCAGCCAGTCGACTGGCCCACGTGCCCATGCTCTTAGACCCCCTTCCGTGTCCTTCCTGGGCTCCCGCATTGGTAGGGCTTTTTTCACCCAGCTTTCAGGAACAGCCAGCATCATGAGCTGTTCCTCTTTTTTCCTTTCTTTATTTTTCTAAACATCTTGATTACTCTCCATATCCCATTGATTCACTGAAAACACAAACAAAGCTAAGTGAGGAGCTTGAAGCCCGCCAGCCTGCTGGAAGTTTTATGAGGGAAAACATGTGTAGTGAGGGAACAGCTGGGCGGCAGCGGCCGCTACCGCTGCCTGATGCCAAACCCACGCACAGATGCAGCCACAGCACGTCAGTTGCAGTAAAGTTGGGTTTTTTGTGATTGTTATTTCAGGTGTCCCATTCTGATTTTGACCAAAATGGAGGTTGGAAGGCTGTATATTGTCCAAGCTGTAGGTCCATCTGAAGAAGGATCAGGTGGACCTCCTTCTCCCTTCGTTTCTGGGCTGGCCAATTTAATTAGCTAGTACCGGAGAACTTAGGCTGTACTGGCTCACATTCAAAATTCATCTAGGAAATAATGGATATAGTTGTTTGTGCTTGAGTTTTGCGGACGTCTGCATGGGAAATCAGCCTTGCCTCTTGCTCTAACAGAGAGTTGGCCTCCTCTTAAACTCTCGAGAGTTTTCGCTGCCCCATCAGAGTCGGGACTGAACTTGGCAGAATGTGATTAACTTTCCTTAGATTGAAACCCCTCGTACCTAAATAAAACAGGAAATCTCCTGCAGTTCCAAGTCGGTTATGATGAGTGCCAAAACCTTCTCTGTGTCCAAACAAATGGAAGATTGGCTTTTTGCTTTTTATTGCATAGCAGGTGATCGCTACCGCGCCGGCACATTCGTACAACAGTCACATTTCCAACCTAAGAAAAACACAGGGCTCCTAAGAGGAATGTAAATGATGTTTGTAAGATATCAAATTACTTTATAAAATAAAGTGATATAAAACTCTTGGGGAGTCTGCAGATTGGAAGAGGGAGGAACAGGGAGGCAGTGAGCCTCTGGATAAAAGTAAGCACTATAGAACTTTCCAGTGGTTTCTATAAAGAAATGGCAGACAGGCCTCTCCCCAGTTATCTCAGCAAGACAGGGGACGGATTGCAGGTCGCTTATACCCAGCACGCCCATTGTCAGTCAGCACTAGGGAAGCCATCAAATACAAATAATAATTGTGGTGACTGGAGAAATATGGAAAAATATTTCTTATAGTCTAGGAAAATACAGACTTTTAAATATCATCATGGTAGCTAAAAAAATAATAATTTTCTGGATCAAGAAAGTCTAGAAAGTGCTTCAAAATTGGAAGAAAGATTGTCGTACGGTGACAAGATTGTGGCTGGTAGTTTTCCTTCTTTGAAATGTCTTTGCTATCAGTGTTATTCTTTAAGAGTGTTTCTAAAAATTAAAGTAGCTGTCCCTTTCAGTATGTGGAATTTAGATTCAAATAACAGAATTATAATGATGGCAAATCATTCGTATGAAGGACTGTAGCAGACCCAGAATCCTCCTTGACAGCTTAAAAAAACAGTGTCTCTAAGAAAGCATTTCAGCACTGCTACCCAAAAGCAGGGGAGTGAAGCCTCTGGTCCTAGATTTCCCCAGGATTCTGAGTCTGTTCTCACCATGGCTACCTTGGAATCCTTCCAAGAGGCCCCCAGACCCAGAAGGATGCTCTGTCCTTGGTGGTGGCTCCAAGAGGTCTCAACACTGAGGCAGCTCAGCTGCAGGAAGGTAATTCCAGCCCTGGGTTGGTTTGTACCTGAATATTGGTGGGAATCCAGGCTGCCAAACTAGCCTGGAAGTCATTTTAGCCTCCCAGGTGTAGGATTTTGGAAGACTTGCCTTCTGTTCATAGCCCTTCAGTAAGAGCTATAGTTTTGTTACCGAGATGGCGTGAACCTAATGCAGGGCTCTGTGCTTCGTTACCATGGTGATAAGGTGCCCCAGGAGTGGAATGGCCTCACTCATCTAAACAGCAAACTGCTGACACTGGAATCTGTTTTCCTCACGAAAGAATTCTTGTCTGCCTCTTTCTGCCCAACTCTGTTGCCCCTCAGTGACTCCGTTTTCCTTAGTGATTTGTATGTCAACTTGCTGGTCAGTTTTACCATAAGGAGAGAGAAATGAAACTGAAGTTTCAGTTGCATCATTTTTTTCCTCTTGGTGGTTATAACCATTTCTGAATGTTCCTTTGATGATCTGAGCATTGGGGTGATGGCCTCGGACATTAAGGAAAGTTGATGCATTTTCATCTAGTGACCTGTGCTTTTTCTCAAAAGCTGTTGGGGCCTTAAAGAGGAAGGAGCACAAGAGAGTTCTGTGCCAAGCGTATGAGTAACTTTTAAAAACAAATTTTTAAAGGACAGAGCTTCCGATATGTTACCTGTTCATATATTTCCTGGTAGTCCAGTTTTCTATAAACATTTTTGTGTTGTTTTTTTTTTTCAAATTCTCGATGTCCAGTGTCGTGGGAAGGGCAGTGATGGTTATTTACAGGGTCTCTCTGATCTAATATGGCAAACTTATTTGAAGGTAGAAGTGCAGCTAGTCTTCTGGGGATTGGTTCTCTAAATCTCCCTTTTGCTTGTCTTCCATCCCAGGTATCATCCATCAGCTTCCCAAGCACTGCTTAGTAATAGCAATGCCCAGGGGAAGCGAAGGAAGCATTTATATAGAAGAGGGAGGGGCCTAGCAGGGCTGTGTTCTCTGAGTGTGGCCTGCAGTTACTGCTTACCAGTTAGCAGTGTTTTTAAAGGAAAGAAAGCCTTGAGCTATAATAGGGATGTGTGTGTGTGTGTGTGTGTGTGTGTGTGTGTGTACGTGGATAGATAGGATTTAGTAAACCATTGGGTTTTTTTCTTTTTTATTCCTTAAAGCTCATTTCATATTCACAGTTCCTTGGTGTGATTAATCGTTTTGCCCCTAGGGAAAAAGAAGACAAGAGACAACTCTAAAGGGAGGGTAGGGAAGAAACAGATTTTTCCTGGCTGCCACCTTAGTCATTACATACAGAAATCTGATAGAGAAGAGTGGCCCAGTGCACTCAGCTTTGTGACTTTTTAATATGGGAGTATTTCAGTACTGTAGCTAACAAGCATCTACCCAGCTTCAGATGGATTATTGCAAGCTGTACAAGCAAAAGGATGGCCCATTCTCCTTAGATTAATCACAAAATATCCGGCTTTTTTCCCAGCATGTCAGTCAGGAACAGCGGGTTCCAAGTTTCTTTGCCCATGGAGAATTCTGTGGCTCCGTGTTGTTATTGTCAATCAGCAGAATATCAGTTGCCTCTTGAGAAGACAGCTGCTGCAGTCTGTCTCTAACGTGGGTGGTCCCATGTGTGCCCCCTCCCTGACATGATGACCACGGGGCTGTGTGCTGTACACAGCCTTCCACAGTCAGGAGATTTAGTGGCCACTACCCCTTGTTAGAGACAGGCTAGTGTTCTTTTAATATGTACCATGTCTTGCTTTGTGCCCAGGAGATGACCAGGAAAATATGCCCAGGATTTTAGTGCCTTGAACTCAGCAGAAGGCTTTGATGCAGCTTCCTTGAATAAGCAATCAGTTCCTCGGTTTTAATAACTGAATCAGGGTGGGGCATTTGGATGTGCTAATAGGAAAGGGGGGCTAGCTCCTCCTCCCCCCGCCAAAAAAATTCCATGGCACTGTCCAAAGCAGGCAGAACCCCATTCCGTGCCTTAGACTAGATTTGATTTGATTTCTTTCTCTTCTCTTTTATCAAAATAAATCAATGAAAGTAACTGGTGGTCTTCTCCAAAATGAATTATTCTAACCCTTGCTTATTTTGAATAACTGAAAAGGTTTGACTATAAGTGACTTATACATAGCCATAGACAACAAAACAAAAACAGAACAGAATTCGAGAAAGTGTGAAGTGTGTGTGAACTAGAAAGTGCCCCTCCCTATACAGGTGGCCCCTGCTCATCATGTGGTCAGGGGTTCAGCCTTCTGCACCTACTAAATATGGTGGCCAGGAGAACTAAGTGCCCCATTCATTTCTTTCTTTCTTGGTTGTAACCTGCATTAGGATTTTTTTTTTTTTTTAAATCAAGAGTGCCATAAGGAATTTTCTACTCTGAAGTCAGAAAGGACAGGTTTCTGGATCCAGACACAACCTACCTTCCTATTGTCTGTCATCTGGTATGCGTAGCTGCAGGTGTATGGGTAGGCCCCTACGTGCTAAGGGAGCCCTACAGAGGGGGTGGGCCACGAAGGGTAAAGGAGTCAGGGAGGAGAACATTCTAGGTGGAGAGCTCTGCAGATGCAAAAATTCATCAACAAGGGAACTTTTGAAAAAG